AATCTTTGATCCATTTTGAATTTATTTTTTGTTAATGGTGAAGGATGAGGATTCAGTTTCATCTTTCTTCAGGTGGATACTCAGAATTTCCAGCAACTCTTGCTAAAGAGCTTTTCCTTTTCTCAGTGGATTGACTGGTATCCTTTGTGAAAATCAGTTGGCTGTAAACTTCGGGGTTTATTTATGGGGACTCTATTCTGTTCTGTTGATCCACCTGTTTTTGTGGCAATACCATGCTGTCTTGATTATCACAGCTTGATAGACTATTTTGAGGTCAGGGAATGAGATGCTGCCCACTCCACTTTTCCTGCACAGAATTGCTTAGGCAATGCTAGGTCTTTTGTGATTACAGACAAATTTTATAATTGTCTTTCTTAGATATGTGAAGAATGTCTCTGATAATTTGATTGTAATTTCATCAGACATGTGGATTAATTAAGGTAGAATTGCTATTTTGATTATTTTAATTCTTCTAGTCTAGGAGCATGGGATGTCCTTCCACTTTTTTGAGTCATTTTCAGTATATTTTTAAAGATTTTCATAGTTTTCTTTGTAAAATTCTTTGACTTCCTTAGTTAGGTTTATCTTTAGGTATCTTATACTTTTTGTGGCTATGGTAAAAGGGATTCTTTTTTTTCACATCCACCACATTGAACTTTTTGTTTATATATAGAAATGCTATAGATTTTTGATGTTGATTTTGTATCCTGCCATTTTATTGCATTTATTATTCATTTATTACTTCAAGAAGTTTTTTCATGGAAAGCTTTGGGTCTCTAAGGATACCATCATGTAATCAGCAAATAAAAATATTTGCAATTCTTCTTTGCCTATTTGAATTCCTTTTATATTCTCTTTTCTGATTACATTGGCTAAGATTTCCAGCACTATATTACAAAGCAGTGAAGAAAGTGAGCAGCCTTGTCTAGTACCCGTTTTTAGTGAAAAATCTTTTAGCTTTAGCCCATTCAGTATAATGTTAGCTATAGGTTTTACATATATGTCTTTTATTGTGTTGAGAAATGACCCTTGTATACCAATCTTGTTGAGAGTCTTAATCATGAAAGGATGTTGTATTTTATCAAAAGCCTTCTCTGCATCAATTGAAGTGATCATATGGTTTTTATCTTTCTTTCTATTAATATGCTGCATTATATTTATGGTCTTGCATATGTTGAACCACCCTTGCATCCCTGTAAATAAAGCCTGCTTGATCGTGATAAATCTTTTTTTGTATGTTATTGGATGTAATTTGCAAGTATATTGTTGAGAATTTTTGTATCTATATTCATCAGAGATATTGATTTGTAGTTTTCTTTTTTTGTCATATCCTTATCTGTTTTGGGAATGAGGATAACGGAGCCTTCATAAAGTGAACCTAGAAGGTTTCTTTCCTTTTGGATCTTTAGAAATACTTAGAGTGGGATAGGGATTAACTCTGCCTTGAAAGTTTTTTAGAAATCAGACGTGAAGCCATCTGGACCTGGGCTTTCCTTTCTCGGGAGGTTATTTATTATTGATTCAATCTCATGGCTTATTGTGTTTTCTGTGGGTGATGAGGAATTGATGCTTTCCTTCGAGGGAGGGACATTTTGTTGGTTGTTCATATTTCTTGTGCCTCAGTGATTGTTCCTAGTTGTCCTTCCTAAATTATTCAAGGTATCTCAGTGTTTATAGGTGTGCAGGAGTAGAAAAATGGCCATATCTCTTCTACTCTGCTTCCCTGTTGCTTACCAGCAACCTTCACTGTTATCATTGGTCCTGGGTGACCCAGAGTCCTCCCTGTTTCTAAATAACAGATTCACCTGAAAACAAGCTACTCAGCTTCAACCCAGGAGCACTGAAAAGATTGCACTGTGTGGTATTCAAAGAACCACCATCCCGAGAGTTCAAAGGCGAGTGGAGGCTTGGATGAGCCATAGGTCCCAGCCGTTAGGCCCTGCAGACACAGGTAGCATTGGGCAAGGCCATGTACTTGAACTAGTATCCATATGGGGTGGGGAGAGGTGCAAGTTCATCTTAAAGTCCCAAGACACAAAACTGAAGTCCAAAAGTGATTGCTGGGGAAATGAGTCATGGGTCCTGGTCGTTAGGCCCTGCAGCCTCAGGCAGACTGGAGTCTTGAAAGACCCTTCACTTGAACCAGTGTTCAGATGGGACAGGGATGGGGTGTAAGTTTGTCAAACCTGAAGTCCAAAGTTGAGTTGGGGGTGATGAGCCACTGGTCCTGGCTGTTAGATCCTGTAGCCACAGGTAGCCTGGAGTCAGGCAAGTCCCTTCACTTGAATCAGGGTCCAGATGGGGCAGGAAGGAGAGCTTGCCCTTATTATTTTCTTTAACTTCTGGGATACTAATTAACTTGATGTTTGGGTGCTTGATGGTATCTGGTATTTCTCATATTCTATCCTCATTTTTCTTGGTTGTTTTCGCAGTCTTTTTGATAATTTTTTCTAAGTCAGAGGTTTTGTCTTCTACACTCGAGATTCGATCTTATGTGAGATCTAACCTGCTTTTAATATGTTCAAGGGAGGTTTTAATTTTCTGTATCACAGTCTTTATCTCTAACAATTCTGCTTGATTCTCTTTTCCAATTTTCTGAGGCATGATGATAAGTTATCTACTTGCCATCTTTCCATCCTTTTCTTATGCACATTAATTGCTATGAATTTTCCTCTTATAACTGCTTTTGCTGTGTCCCATAGATTCTGGACACTTGTGTACTCATTATCATTTGTTTCCATATTTTTTTTTATTTCAGCCTTAATTTCTTGAGTAGTGAAGAAGTCATTCAGAAGTAGGTTGTTCAGTTTCCATGTGTTCGTGTATTTTTGGGGTTGTTTCGTTTTTTTTCTTTTTTCTTTTTTTTATTTTTTGGAGAGGTTTTTGCTATAGGGCGTGTGTGCTTGCAAGACAGAGAGAGAGAGAGAGACAGAGAGAAAGAATGTGAGAAATCACCCCCCAGGGGGGATGATCACGCCTCAATCCCTTCTCCTCCATTCTCCTCTTGAGATTTGGGCATGCACGCACACACGCCCAGTGTGAGTTTAAGCCACCGGGTCTGGGACTGGAACCGCAGTC